AAAGAAATATATTAATTTCTAAATATATTTAATTTACAATTAAATAAATAATAATAATAAATCAAAATCTATGTATTTTTTTACTTTACATTTTTAATTTACAAAAGCCTTTTGTAAATTAAAAATAAAAACACAATTATATTTAATAGAGTGACTCAGTGGCATCCGGCTATTTAAAAAATTAAATAAATTAAAAAAAATAAATAAAATTAAAAAAATAAATCGAAATCGATTTATTTTTTTAATTTACAAATGCCTTTTGTAAATTAAAAAAAATTAAATAAAATTAAAAAAATAAATCAAAATCTATTCAATTTTTAATTTACAAAAGCCTTTTGTAAATTTAAATAAAAAAAATACATCAAAATCTATTTATTTTCTTAATTTACAAAAGCCTTTTGTACATTAAAAAAATAAATTAATTAAAAAAAATATATACACGTCGATTTAATTTATTTAATTTATTTAATTTTATTTAATTTTTTAAATAGCCAAATCCACAAACAAAAAGAAATATTTTAACTTTTAAATATATTTAAGTTACAATTTGAAAAATTGAATAAATTAAATAAATCTTTAAAAAAAACTAAATAAAACATCAAAATCTATCAATTTTTAATTTACAAATGCTTTTTGCAATAAATATTTGAATTGAAAATTAAATCATTTGTGTTTGTTTCTTTTTACGAAATGATACCTAAAGGACCCTCGATCATATATATATACATATACATATTCATATAATATACATGCATAATATCAATTAGTATCATACATGTGTATAACATGTATATTTGTATCCCTCTGAGGCTGCCCGGAACTCGACGCCCAGCATCCTTGCTGCACTTAGTGTGGGGTGGTAGATGAGCCTGAGACGAGGGACTCAAACGTGGCCAGAAGTTGACATGCCCAGGTCACAGTCAGCTCTGCATATATTGGATTCAACATATTAGCATGAGGGCCGGCCTAACAGAAATATAACGGTAAAAACTGATGCCCATATAATGTTATGCTTTAGCAGTGCCAGGGTCTAAATTTCCTGGGAAAGGAGCTTGACATGTCTCATGCATTTTGTGCCTGACTTGCCTGCAACAGTGGACCCCTTCGGTTGTCGGTCTGTGGGTGGAACTTGGACATGGTTTCATCCAGTTTTGCGTCCATCTATATACATACAGTATCTCTCACTATATACAGCATCTCATATATCATGTTTTAATCATATCATGTTTTCATCTATATACAGTATCTCTCACTGTGATCTGCTTTTTTGAGGTGTGAGTTCTACAGGGAAGGCCTTGGGCATCGCAGCTGGGCAGAACCACCGAATCCGCTCATCGCACTCATCGTCCGCCGCTGTGCCTGAGATGAGGTGCTGGCGCTTTTCGCTGGAAGTCTCGCGGGAGTTCAGAGTGTGCCTCAGGTTCTGATGGGGAATGTCCAAGCTGAGTGGGCCATTGGGTTTAAGGACCGGAAAATCAACACCTCCTTCGGAACCTTTTTCAATTCTTCCTCAATCCTGTGACGGGATAGCAGCATGGAGAAGCACCACTCACAGCATCTCACAGAACTGTGTCTTTGTTTGACGCCCGTAGCAGCATTGAATTGAATTTATGGACTCAGTTACTAAGTTGAGTCTTTTCTTGGGACACTGATACTTCTGAAAAGATGCAAATCATGTGACAAAGAAACGGAACATTATCTGTGTTTGTTGTGCTTGCTTGAGGTTCCTGCAACTTTGTACAATCAGCGACATCCAGAGGCTCGTCCGACGGTGGTTGTCTTCCCGCAATGCCTTGGGTGTCTCGACGCCAAAGCAGGGTGCACGAAGCTCAGACACACCCACACACCCCGCCCCACAAGTATACACAATGGCTATCTCACTCAATATGGTAACTCTAGGATATCCAGAGTTGCAACAAGTATGAAGTTGTCCTAGCTTTGCTTTGGCTTCCAAAGTCTGTCCAGTTCGATGATGGTTCAAATTGAAACCTTCCAGAGATGTTCAGACATGTGACAAGTTCGCTTTGCAATGCAATGCTGGAAGTTGCTTCAACCCTTTTTTTCCTCTGGACAAACATTCAGCTTCACAGGGATCTTCTTTCGGTCTTGGGCCATTTTTGATTGGATTTTTCGATCAATCAGACGGATGATTGATGGGATGCTGTAGGCCGCCAGGAAGAGTACAAAGGTCTTTGTTGCGTGTGCCAAGGATTTACATTTGTTCAAGCTTTATTTACCTCTTGTACGCTGCTGTGGCGCGTGCATCTGGTTGGTCAATACCGCATTCGGCGCCTGGATTGCACAGTAGCCTTTTCGTGGAGTTGGACTTGAGGTTGGACCGTTCTCATGTTTGCCGTGCAAGCAAACTACATATTGAAAGGCTACATACATGTAACAACGTAACGTTGTGCTTCAACCTTCCACATATCGACCTACATACCTTGTACTGGTGCCTTGGCGTCGGCGTTTGATACTCGGCGTGGGCGCATGATCTTGTGCCGATGCCCTCCAGCAGCCGACGTAAGCCGCTGTGTCCAGTGACGCGTAAGCTGTCCACGGCAGCCGAGCATTGTAAGCAACTGTCGCTTTTCATGGGTTGGATTCTCAGGCTAGCACACATGACCCGGACTGACCCAAGAGAAACAGAATTGGCAAAACAACATAAAACAAAGTCCTGTAACATCTGTAACGTTGCCGGTAGTTGTGAACGCTTTGACCAGCACAAGTCCCTCTTGACATATTCTAAGTTGCTTAGAGGTTGGGCATTTGCGCCCCCGACTGTCCTGTCAACCTCGGTTGATCTGCTCCGGCTTCGCACCGTTCTTGACGTCCAAGTCAGTACCCCAAAGTGCTAAGCCCCCCCAAGTCCGGAGGCAATGGATTTTGGCATGCGACTGGGGCCGTCATGTGTTTTCAATTGTTTTCATATTAGTCCGTTCTGAGGCAATCCGACCACCTTACTTTAGTGGCTGCATATGGGCCATTGGCTTCTCGTTCATGATCGCACCTTGGTCAATGAGCTGGCGGTTGATTCGCATCCCGTGCCTTTCTGCGCTGATGTTGCCAAGACTGATCGGTGAAGGCGGTATGGGTCTTTTCGGTCTGAAGATGTCACTGGAGTCCATCGATCGACCGATGATGCCGATGATGCGCACAGGTTCAGTGGAAAGTTAGCTTTCGAACTTTTTCCAATTAATCCCAGAACCACCCATCCTTCCATTGGTTGCCTAAGGGAACCCCTATTTTTCCGGGATCTTTTTCAGTTGTTTTCCGTTTTTTTCTTTTTCACGCTTTTTTCACCTACTGCTTTTGTTGTTTGTTTTTGCTTTTGCTTCTGCTTTTGCTCTTTGTTTCTGCTTTTGCTTTTGCTTCTGCTTTTGCTTTTTGCTTTTGGCCTTTGCTTCTGCATTTGCTTTTGCTTTTTGCTTTTGCTTTTTGCTTTTCCTTCTGCTTTTGCTTTTGGCTTCTGCCTTTGCTTTTGCTTCTTCTTTTGCTTATGCTGACTATCTTCTTACAAAGTTGGATGATAAGACCTTCACCTTGAGCTTTGACACCCAATTGCACCCAAGAAACGAAGCAGCCCAGCTCTGTCTATATTTGATTTGCATTGCGCTGCTTTTTTTAGTTGCCACTACTGTCCACCACCCCTACTATTTCTAATACCTCTATCACTTGGACCACCCCGCTACGAGTCTTACCACAGTTACCACAACTACTATTTTCTTTGCGTTGACGCTGCCACAAAGGTGGATTTCTACTTTGCTTAGCCCAAAAAGAAACCCGAAACCACTGAAACCCAAAGACAACCGCAGAAAAGTCCCTATTATAGTTCCTCTCTCCTCCTACTTCTCCTTCGTTAAGTGGGATGCCTTTTCCGGAAGAACGCCTAAAGAAACCCTAAAGACAAGAAACCGAGCCCACAGAAACCCGAAACCAGTGAAGCTAAAGACAACCGCAAAGAAGTCCCTAGTAAGTGGAATACCCTTTCTGTTCCCTCCCTTTGTCACTGTCACGCTGGCTTTGGTGCTTCGTCCCCTGCCCTTTCTGCTGCTCCTAGTGCTTGTAAGGCACTCCCAGAAGAAGCAAAAGCACAAACAAACAAATTACCGGACAAAATCTGAGAAAAAAACATCCGGAAAACATATCCATCCTTGCGGAACCCCTATTTTTCCGGGCTTTTTGTTTCTGCGGAACCTAAAGAAACCGAGCCCAAAGAAACCCGAAACCAGTGAAGCTAAAGACAACCGCAAAGAAGTCCCTAGTAAGTGGAATACCTTTTCTGTTCCCTCCCTTTGTCACTGTCACGCTGGCTTTGGTATGCTTTGGTGCTTCGTCCCCTGCCCTTTCTGCTGCTCCTAGTGCTTGTAAAGCATTCCCAGCAGAAGCAAAAGCCAAAACAGTAGGGGAAAAAGCGTGAAACAAATTACCGGAAAAAATCTGAGAAAAAGATAGGAAACATATCAATCCTTGCCTAAGAAAAGAGAGCCCATAATCTCGAAACAGATTGGCTTCAGCTTTGGGTGAGAGGTAGGGCCCTCTCCGACTCTTTGGTCCTTTCTGCGCCATGTTCCTTTGGCGTAGCAATAAGACCTTGGCTGCGAGGAGTCCTTTTGGCTGCAATCCTCATAGTCAGGGATGGGTCCACATAGCCCACAGGAACTGCTCACAGGATCGACCATCAGTATTACTATTACAGTAACCCAAAAATCGCTTCGAACATGCACAGAAAACGTCACAAGAGGTTCAAAAGGAACATACAGTACCCCTCTTGATGAATACATACCCCATGTCAATCCCGATTCCTTCGCAGACGGAAGCTTCCATATGCCCAACAGAAGCCCGCCACCCGGTGGGGTCCGGCACCGTCCGGCACTGGGCACCGTCAGGTCGGTATCTCGATCCTGGGCACCTCGGTGGAAACACCGGCTGATCCCAGCAACGACGGGCTTGAGTTTGGCAGGAATGGAACACCACAAGAAAGGGGGCCTCAAAAAAGATTCTCTTTTCTTTTGATGTTCCTTTTCAGAGATATTCCAACATCACTGAATGGCGTGTGACATCGTGTGACTAGCTTGTAAGGCTTTGAAGCTTTGGTGAAGTCGTAAAGTGCGCGTGGGACAGTCTGTTTCTTTGAGTGATGGCTTTAGGGAGGAACAAGAAGGCGCTTGGTTTGCCTTTTTCCTTGCCTTTTTTTAAGAGGGTGCCATTTCGTTGAACCAAACCCATCGAATAGCGTGGAAAACACTGCGTTTTATATATTGGGCTCTCTGATGAAGTGGTTTTGGTATGTGTTTTTAGTAGCAAGGAATTAGAAGGTGCTTGGGATGGGCTTTCCTCTCAAATGTGCAGTGTACTGACGCTTGTCCTTATGTTGTCCTTGAGGCTTCTCGATTGGTTATACCCTGGATGCCGTGGGACCTATTGTGGTTGCCAGCATGCTTTCAATATTTGTGCCACATGGCAGCATTCTCAAGGATGTAAAGATTATACGCAGTTAAAGAATGAGTAGAGGAAGACTGACCAAAGCCCATGCCTACTGTTAAGATGGAACAGCTGCTTATATTTGCAATGGAGGAGTGACTATCAGATGCAGTTGGATTTCGCACCATTTGGCAGAGATATGCCATATGAATTACTTAATAGAATGCCGTCAATAGCAGCATGCCCATGCACACAACTTGGAACGCCTGGGAACACCGCCCTGGGAGGTTCAAAGAGATGACTCAAGGAAAGCAACTGATGCTGTTGGGTTCTCAGTGGCCGACACGTTTTGCTGAAGTGTTGTTGTTGCTGCCAAGTTTGCAATCATTTCGCATCGTCATGGTACCAAACATAATGCTCAGAGTCTTTGCCAGTGCACTTGGTGCATGTTCTGTTCTCAAACAGGGATTTGGCACAAGCTGATAGCTGTTTGCCTTTGCACTTTGGACTGCTTGGTAGAATTGTATATTGTGCGTTGGTACCATTGCGCATCATGCCGTCTCAAACTGGTGGTGGCTGGTTTGCTTTTGCAGATGCGGCCCCTATGAATTCTTCCATTTGTGGTCAGTTTCCAACCCTTGGCTCCTCCAGATCAAACTCGGACTGCTGCCTGCGAACCACCCGTTGCTGCCGGCTGTTCTGAGGTACTGGGGCTCCTTCACCTTGCAACTGGCCGGTGTGCTCCTGATGACTTTCTTCAGTGAGCACAAGTAGCGACGGCGATGCTCAGTGATTGGCTTAGGGACACAGGTAACTGCTTGCAACACGCAGATTAACGCTGACATACGCTTTCATTGTAAGCCAGAAGTTGTCTTGGGTCACTGCCCCACTCTTAGCCTACTCAACAAAGACCTCACGCCCAAGAAAGAACTCAACTTGACCTGGGAAATACATCGGAAAATGTCTGCAATTGACAAATTGTTTTCGTTCCTGCTTGTGAAGTTGTTTTTACACGGCAAAGAAGAGAGTCGGCGTCACAGACACACGGATTTTCGGAAGCCTTTGGATTTGTGGAGAGGATGCAAAGACCATCATCGATTCAATTCGGGCATTGAGGGAGGTGCTAATTTGGCGTCTTCCAAGCCATTCAGAAAAGGTTCCTGCCTTTAGCGGTGACCTGCCCAAAGACTGTCAACAACTTTCACTCTTGCTGCGATAAAAGAAAAGAGCTCGCATTTTGTCCAGCATTGTATGTGGATGGCAAAATTGCCAGCTCGCACACTGCAGCTTCTCTGTGAATTTGGGACTTCTAACTTATAACTAATAACGACTTTGTCACCAAACGACTTTGTCACCACAGCGTAGCGTTGCAGGCCGGCCACTGAGGGGAGCTCAAATCAATGGCCACTTGGAGCAAACTCGCCGGATTTGATGACTTCTAGGGGAAGCAAACCCAAATGGCCATGATTCAAAGGATCGTTGAAACCCATCGAATTATTCTCAGTCGAGTGATCAACATGAGTTCGTTGTCACTGAGGGGAGATTTGGAGATCAAACAGCTTTGCCCCATCCATGATCAAAGGATCTTTAGATCATATCACCGTGTTCTACTGGCAGATCTTCACTTCTTGGGCTCTTAACGAATCTTGCCTTCAGGAAAATGGCTCAAGAAGAGGTCGTGTCGGTCTCACAAGTCGTCCGAGGCTCGCTCGCGACTCGCCACCGGTCCGGCATCCTGAGGCCCGAGCCGTGCACGGCCGCACTTTGCAGAGGTCTTGGGGCCAGAGGCTCATCAACTTCACCAGCTGCCACGACAACTGCGGATGCATCCGGACACCCGGCAACGAATTTTGTTGGTAGTTCACGATTTTGCTGTGCCAACTCCTGGCTAGCGGCTAGAGCTTGAGTGGAGGAGTTGATGTTGGAAGGTTTCAAGTATAGGCCAGTATAGGTATCATCCTGAAGCGTTTGAAGGAATTAATTGATCCTATCACTTAGATTTGGGGGCCACCAATACGAATTGATGCGATAGGCCAGGATGGCCAAGAGCTCCGCTCAGGAGCTGATCGGCGAGATCGTCGAGGTGATCGACTCTTCAACGGACTGAATCGAGCCGTCCATCATTGAAACCAACACATCCTGCAACGTACAACATGCTTTTACAATCAGTTTAAACATGTTTTAACATGTGACATAGTTGGTGACCTACTCTCACAGTTACAAGTAGAACTGCACCGACATGCCGCTTCACTTCAATTCCAGTGATCTTTTGATGAGCACACCAGGATGGGGAGGTGACCTGGCTCCACCTGCACGAGAGCTTTGGCAGTGTGCGTTTGAAAGAAGGCGATGTCAGGCGAGGCTTCTGAGCGCTGGCAGGGCCCTGCTGAAGACCAGCTGCCAGGGCCCTTGAGTGGATCGTGTCATCCTGTGTTCTGTGTGCTACACCCTCATGATCCCTTATGGTTTGAACATGCTTGAACTGTGCCAAAAGTCCCACTTACTGTAACGCTCGACTGGCAGCCTTAAAATGAATGGGTTTCGACGACCTCCAAGTGGAAGATTTAAGGGGTCCCTAACGCTATGTCGATGCACTATCAAAGGGTTCTCATTCAATATTTGTTTCAACGCCCCAGGCATTAGCTTCTACAATGATTCCACAAAATTTGTTAAATGTTTTTTGGGTTTGTTGGAAGTTGCTCATGGACGTCCCTTGGCTCAATTTGCCATCGAGCCGAGACGTTGGAAGATAATGAAATCATGTTGAGTTGTTGGGGTGCTCTTTGTGTTGCATCATCAATAGCACCCTATGTTCTTATGTTTTTTAAATATCATTCCAGGATTTTGCGCATGTCTTTTCTGGCGGTACTGCACTTGTAAGTTGCCGGTGATTGTCAGGCAAACCGTTCCGAACGCCAGTTAGATCATTTCTGACTATTGATTACACAGCTTCGTTTTTCCTGTCCTCGGAGTCAAACGAGACCACCATTGCGCTGGTATGTTTTGCTTCAGGATGTGCCAGGAGCAGCAAGGCATCGCGGCATGCACTGACAACACTGACAATACTACTTTGCTGATTTTTACTGTTCCTATGAAGTCAAGTCTTTTTACACGTTTGTTTCGTTCCATGTGTCCAGATCCGTTTGGCATCGTTGCAACCTAAAGTATACAAGTTGATACAAGGATACTGCTGTATGGTAGGAGGCACCAAAGTGCTCATAACAGTTTAATGCGTCTTCTATGAACATGTGTGTTGCCTGAATCCATTGACAGCGTTGGCGGTCGTTTACACTCTGCAGATGCATGATGCAAGCACTGCCAGATTGCAAACTAGAACTTCCACTGTTTGTGTGGTGATTGGGCCTTCAGATTCACATTTACATTTTATGTGCTGTGTGCATCATGTGCTGCAAATAGTTCACTAAGCACATGCTTATGAGGGTAATGAACAAGTATGGATGCATTTGATACAAACGCAGCAAAGCACACCCTATAGTCTGAAACATGCTTTATGATGTTGCGGTGATGCAATATTCGCTGATAACGGCCTTCGACAATTGCACGAAGCATTTGTGTCCACTGAGGAAAATGCACTTCACTGCGAAGCACATGCGAAAACAACAGCTCTAAAATGCTATGTCATGTCAATACTTAAGACCCCGACAGAAGGAGAAAGCTTCCTGTCGGCCTGAGCCTTATGATGCGATTGGGTCGAAACCCAAGGTTCGTTCTTCTATGGGGCTCTGAGCAAAGTGGCTCTTTCCAAAGAGGCTGCGCCATCCTCGCCAACGATTTGCTTCCTGACGCGCGCCTGAAAAAGAAACGGGCTGGTGCCACAAAAGTGGCTAGATGATAGATGATGATACATGATGTTTCTGATTCACCCAGTAATCCCAGTATCATCAAAGGAAGTTTAAAGTGCAAAACTTCCGTGTTACGGACTTTCAACAGCCATTACTACGACATACAACATACAACACTACTACTACTACTACTACTACTACTCCAGTCAGCTCTAGCTTTAGTTAGCTCTAACTCCAGTCATCAGCTCTTCAACATGCACTTTGGAAGGAAGTCTCGTACAAAATGCGTGTTCGAGAGATAGCGGACGCACGAAATGCTGTGTTTTTCAATACAAAGGGTGGTTCCGAACCTGGCAAGGCTAGCTCTGCGGCCTCGCGTCATGCTCGGATCATGGTCGGATCATGCTCGAATCGTCCTGAGCGTTGTGAAGCTGAGTTGACAGCAATGAGAAAGTCAAGCCTTGAAGCTTGTTTCACAACAAACCTCAGCAATACAGATAAGGACTTCCTATTTTGTCAAAATTTCTTTCGGCGCAAGAAGAACATGTTGACACAGGAGCAAGAAAAGATGGTTGATGCATGGACGGAGAAGATATGTGGCGATGGTGCGGAGGTGCGACCCGCGGTCGACGCAGAGTTGACCCGTGTGATATATAACTATACTTGAGCGCCGTGAAGCTGAGTTGACAGCAATGCCAAGTCAGGCCTTGAAGCATGTTTCGCGACAAACCTCAGGAATACAGATAATGATTAGAAATTTTGTCGACATTTCTTTGAACGCAAGAAGAATATGTTGACGCAGGAGCAAGAACAGATGCTCCCGGCATGGGCTTGTAAGATTTGCTGCGACGAACATGCGCAGGAGCCAAGTGTCGAGGCAAATGCCTTCCAACGCTTCTTGTCGACGGTACAAGGTCGGGCGCAAGACCTTGCGACCTTGCGCAAGCCTGACCTCAAAGCCATCTTGTTTTCGTGCGTGTGCCGGGCGGGTCCGGAGTTAAAGCTTTTTTGGGAACAGAACGCAGCCGAAGTGTCCGATCAGCAGCAAGAGCAAGTAGAGGATGCGACAGTCCCGATGCTGTGGCCTCGTGGCCCAGACGATCGTGCGGCGATGCGACCCGCGATTGTTAGGAGGTTGGCGCAGGTTGGGTCCAACACTTGGCTGCAGGCGAGGAGAATTTCTTGCCATAGGTGCAACTAGTGTGGAAAGCTTGTTTTCACGACATGCTTTAAAGACTGACGCGGAATTACGCTTCTGCTGCGACTTTCTCAAGCGTGTGTTCCCAAGACTCGAGGACGCAGAGCAGCAGCGAATCCGAAAGAAAATGAATGATGTCTTGGTGCAAGCTTGCGCCGTGCCTGTGAAAAGTAGCTACGAGGCCAAGCTACATGTTGAAGAAACCGTCTTGGGAGATGCCCTTCCACGCCCAAGACTGCCCAAGAGTTTGCGGCAGCTGTTTGGCAACAGCATGGACGCCGAGGCCCGGATTATGCCGGTTTTTCACCGTGCGCATGAGGTGGATGAATTCATGGTTTCTTTGCAGTTTCAAGACTGTGACTATTGTCATGAAGTGTGGTTTGGCAGTAGCAGGAAAAGGGAAGACTTGCCAGGTGGCTTCGAAAGTGAAGCTTACAAGAAACAATTTTTTTTGCGCACGCTTGAGAGCCAATGGTTGGATTCTAGCCGCCCTATTTGTCAAAACTGCTTGCTGGAAGCTAAAAGGCGTGCCACGGAGGGCTACGCCAAGGAGCCTTTCCGCCTTGACTGCCGCCAACTTTGCAGACTGGTCCCACATTACCAGAAACAGATGCTTTGAGTTTTTCGAAGAAGAGATTCTGTCGCCTATCCAGCACATAGTGCGTATCTTCACCTTGCACACAACAGGGCAATGTGAGCTTCGTGGACACGTGGGTAACCTGTTCCAAAATGGCCCACAGTATGTGCGCAACATTCCTGCGGCTATTGGCAACATGAAAATGTTGCTGATATGGCGTTGCCCGAAAGCCCGGAGCACTGACGCCCGGTGGGTATGTCGAGCTAGTGAAAAAAGAGACCTTAGAGCAATACGCAGACACTCGCGCTGCGTTGGCAAAAAGTTTGGAGGGCATGGTTCTGGCTGAGGGACACGCGTGTTAGACAGAACCAGGGGTCGGACTGGGTTGACTGGGTATGACTTGTTCTTGTTTTGGAATCCACGCATGTAGCTGACAATGGTTTAGGCTGGGGCAGACGGAGGTTGGAAGGAACCAGCCAGCCGGAGAGCGAGTGTCGCGACAGATGGAAACCCACGAATGGAAAATCAATTGGAGGAGAGCTTCCCTAAGGTGTTGCTCGCCCAGAGAGATACCATGCGTGGTGACACTTCTTGCTGCGCATAGGCTCCATGTTATACATGTCGTCGATGACACGCATTGTCAGAAGTCACATGATTCATTGCTCAGTGTGAAACAATATAGAAATGTGCTGTAGGATATGTTGCTTCACTGCTCTGTATATATATATATATGTAGATTGCCCGAGCATATGCTTTCAAAATCTGTCTTAACAATCGTGCTCATAGCCAGCAGTCATGTTGCATTACAACTCCAACGTCTTCGAATCAAGCCGGCGGCACGTCGTTGTGGACTGCCTCAGTCTCGCCATGGCTTTACCCGGTTTTTTTGTGCTCCAAGATCCAATGTTGCAAAATTTCAAGAATGTGTTGCAGCAACATCTGCGGGCGCCGCCTGTCTTGCTGTATTACTTGTGAAAACGCAAGCGCGCGCACTGCAGAAGGCATCTTTGAGCACACGAGAAGTGGCTTCTGTGAAGCTTGCTGGGATGTTTCGGCTCGGGATGATCTCGCAGCGACTGCTAAACTATAGCGCAATGCACTCGATTGCGAAGCCCGGAGGCTTGCGCCTTCATTGGGACCTGGATCCTGGTTTCCAAAACCGCGCGGTAGTCAGTTGCGTATGCCACACGCTGGCACGCAGATTGCCGTTGCTATGACAATAGGTGTGCTGCAGCCCCCCGGTGGTTTGGATTACTGGCAAAGAACCGCCCCCCCGCCACTTGTTCCACCTCGTCCAGCCCCTGCCAGACGTGCTGGGTGAACCCTTCCTTGGTCTTGCCGAGAGGCGTCGGTCTGCGTGCGTCGCTGTGGGCCGCGCAGACAGCCGGGGAATGTCTGTCGTTGTGAGCCGCGTAAACAGCTGCTACCGCGCAGGACTCTTTGCGCTAGTCGGTGGCGCATCGGCGGTGCTCTTGGACTTCGGTGCGTTGCTGTGAACTACCGGTGAAAAGCAAAGGAAGAAGTGGGAGGAATTCGTGCCAGTGCCAGAGCGAGTACGCCGTTGTGGGCTGCTTGCGTGACACATCGTTGCGTGCCGGAACAAAAGGGGGTCTGCAGGGCATGTGCGAGTTTACTGTTGGGGGTGCTTTAAAGAATGGTCGCCTTGGTGCTGGATGGTCTGGTCGGGTTCCCGGCCGGCTTGTCTCCCACTTCCTTTCATTTGTCTCCCAGTTCTCCCACTTCTTTTCATTTGTCTCCAACTTTTGCCCCAAACAGTTTACTGTTAAGGGGTTCTCAATTCTTTCTTAAGATGTGTCACTGCTGGTGTCCGCCCATTTCCACTGGCCATGTAGCATTTCTAATTATTCATTTGTCTCCCAGGTCTGTCACTGCTGGTGTCCGCCCTTTTCCGCTGGCCATGCAGCATTTCTATTCACGTGTCTCCCAGGTCTGTCACTGGTGGTGTCCGCCCTTTTCCGCTGGTCGTGTAGCATTTCTATTCATTTGTCTCCCAGGTCTGTCACTGCCGGTGTCCGGCCTTTTCCGCAGGCAATGCAGCATTTCTATTCATTTGTCTCCCAGGTCTGTCACTGCTGGTGTCCGCCCTTTTCCGTCGGCCATGCAGCGTTTCTATTCATTAGTCTCCCAGGTCTGTCGCTGTTGGTGTCCCTCGTTTTCCGCTGGCGATGCAACATTTTCTATTCATTTGTTTTCCAGCTCTGTCACTGCTGGTGTCCGCCCTTTTCCGCTGGCCATGCAGCATGTCTATTCATGTGTTTCCCGGGTCTGTCACTGGTGCTGCCGCCCTTTCCGCTGGCCATGTAGCATTTCTATTCATTTGTCTCCCATGTGATTTCTTTCTTTTTGTCTTTCAGGTTTGGTGCCTGCGCTGCTGTTTTCTGCCCTGTCGGCTGGAACAGGTTCACCTGTTGCGTGACTGTCTCCGGGATTGCATTCCTGCCACACTGTGTAACACTCAGCTTTGTTTTCCTTTTCGGGCAAGCGTTGGATGAATGACCGGATAGGATTTCGGCGGCGTGGCAGCGATCTCTCTGTTCAGTTGGGACGGAGGGCATACGTCAGGCACCAAAAATCAATTTCATGTCACATCCTTCGCTCCTCATGCTTTTGTTTCTTGTCCTCACGTGGTCAACTGCCCGCTGATTGAGCAGCATGACCAGCATCATGTTCGCACTTGAAGAATAACTCCCCAAAAGGTTTACTGTTAGGGTTTCTCAATTCTTTCTTAAGATGTGTCCGCCCGCTCTGTACTGCTGTGTCCGTCTCTGCCTTGCAATCCTTTACATGTGTCTCCCAGCTCTGGGCTGCTGTGGCCGCCTCTGCCTTGCAATCCTTTGTCTCCCAGCTCTGGACGTCGCAAGCTCTAGTTTCGATTTTGAAAAACACAAACTGTTTGGGGTCTACGGTGGTGTAATTTATAGGAAACTTCTGCCGCCAGGTTGCCCGGGAACTGCTTGTAGTATTGAAGTGTACACATGAATAGCACACCGTTTTCTCCGAACTTTCAGCACGTTGGTATTCTCATCACTTAAAGCATTCTCCCGTTAAGAACACGTGGAACATGCGCGACACCCCATGGACTTGGTTCGTACACGGGCTTGTACCTCGAATAAGCAGTTGGCTCGTCACATGTCGGAGTGGGATAGCAACGTTACGAAGTGATTTGCCAAGGAATCCTGGCACCGTCCTCGAGATCTCTGAGAGGCAAGTCATAGACCCTTGCATTCTGATTTGGAGGCGTTTTGCAAATCCTCTGTTCAATGACGGTCGAAGCGGGCGGCAAATCGCTTAAAAAGTACATGTAAAAGGATATGTATAATATGTACAATGTTATATTACAATATATATATATGATATGTAACATATATAATATATATACGTACATGATACAATGTATATACTAAGGATGCGGAAGGCTTGGGTGTGGGCCTTCCGTACTCATCCTGGCACTTGCCAGCTCCAAGGACGGTGTGCTGCGATTGCGTGTCCGCCGTGATTCAATGCGTGGCACTGCTGATGGTTGGGCCGGGCCCTCAGCGCTGGAGACAGCTTGTGCCGAATATTTTTTTTTCGGGGAGAGATCATTTGAGTCACTTGGTTTAGATGTTTGTTGTGAACTGGACATAGTCTTTGATGAATTTGTTGTTGTTGTGGTGGTGGTGAGCCTGTGGCCATGAAGGGTCGCATCGACATGTTGTTCAACAAAGACATCCTTCAACCTTCACTCATACTGGCCGCAGTCTTTAGAAGAAGGGCCATGCCTTTGATGGTGAGAAACCACAGTTTAACAGTATAGACTATACAATTCGTTCTGACAAAGTGCGGCCTGTAAACTTAGAAACCTAAGGCACACTGTCAACGCATATCATTTAGCACCTGGAAGGATCATGAAGGATCTAGAAAGTACAGGGGACAACTCTGGGGTGGCTTAGCCGCTCCAGCAGCATGTGACTTGGAAGACCACTTTTTGCTAGGTGGGAAAAACACACCTTCCGGCATGTGACTCAGAAGGTCAGCCCAGCGTGATCCACCGTGCTGTCCACAACGGGTGTCGCTCGTGGTGCAGGTCAGCGAGTACAAGCGACCCTGCTTTGACCCTCGCCTGGGGGGTGCTTCTCAACTCTTGCGCTTGAGGCACGGGGGCCACTCTGGAGGATGCGCATGACAGTCCTTTATTGAGATTGTTCCAATACCAGAGTGTCCAGTTGGATGGTGACATCTCAAAAACATATTCAAAAAAAACATCGCTAACACTAGTTGTGTTGCTCAACGGCTGTCACAGTATTCGTTCGGAATCGGCGGCTGCGCCGGTTCTGACACAGGAGCTGCCTGGTGGCCACCTTGTGACATGATCCAACCTGGTGGCCACCAGTGCTGTTTTGTGTTGTGCATAAAGCAGTAATGATTGGGTGCATGTCGGGAGCCATTGTCAGGGATATGCTCCGCACCTCGCTGTTGAATGGAACGTTCAAGGATTTCCGGTGGACTTGCCGTTGGATGACACGAGAGGAAGAGTCATTTAACAGCTTGCCTCCGCCTCTCATGCCAGGGGCAAACCCGCCAGTCTGGGGAAGAAAGGGCCATGTTCCTTGGAGCGCAGTGCCGGCTTTGCAACCACTTACAGTACATACGCAACCAGTTCCCCCCCTTTAGGTGGTAAAGTAAAGTGGCTTGCGAACATATATATATATATACCCAGAAATCATCGGAAGGCACATCCAAAGGGTAGGACGATTTCTTACTGAAGAAGACTCCATGCAAACTGTTTCGCGCGCCAGTTGGCAGGAAGTTTGCAAAGCTCGTTGGAACATCTTGGAAAGAAATATCACGCCCTGCACAGCCATCCGAGGCTATGCATTCGCATGTTGAGAGGAAAAAAAGGTGTGTGGGAACACAATCCCTTGGAGTTGCCCTCCATGGTTTGGATTCAGATGAAGTTGCAAGCTGCTAAGCTTAAGTTTATTTATATACATATATGTATGTGATGCATTCGATCCACGAGCCATTCGGTCGGAAGATGTTGACACGTTCGTTCATCGACGTTTGCCTGTGTCGGTTCCAATGAACTGGTTTGGTCGTGTTCCAAAAGGATCAAAGGCGTTTCTTTGATCGAAGGGTGAATCTTCCAATGTTTGCAGATCTATCAAGCCTTGAGATTTTGCAAGATCAATTCTCTCGACTCAATTCCTGGAAATTTGCCGGTATTGCCGGAACTGTTTGTTGTTGTAGAGAGAAGGGAGGATGCTTTCTGTTGTGATTTGAGCCCTAACCCAAGCCCATGGGCTTGCGCTCGGGATGCACATGTGTTTTGGAAAGGGGTGAATCGAAGTTTTGCAGCTATGTCAGCTGTGAAGAAAGACTGAGATCAAAATATGGCAGCTACGTCAGCTGCGAAGGAAGACTGAAAAAACGGTGTTCATGTTTGCTTGTCGCTCACGTCGTCCTGTTTGAACTGCAACGTTTGTTTGGCTAAGCCAGGAGCCACAATAGGTAGAGGTGCTCTAATTGTGGATCGATCACCTCTCGCCTCTCTATTGTGGATCCTTGGCACTTGTAAGGGGCACCCTTTGCCAGACTGTTGGAGCGCAGTTGTGGAAGTTGGAAGATTTTGGAGGTTCATTTATTGTGCTTTCATTTGCTTTGATGTCCTTACATTTTGCTTTCAGTCTCCTTTCATGTGCAATAGAACAGCTGAAAGGTACATGGACAACATTCCAAAGCAAGCCAGGACATGTAAAGGAAATTTTGTGTGGCAGACTGGTCCTTTTTCCTGTCCTGAGAGCTTTTGTGTGTGCATGAAACACATCTGCAGCAACGTTGTTTGGATGTTGCATTTTGGACACATTTTTGACATGTTTTGTGACATTTTTTTGGTGACATATTTTTTGGGTTTTGACAGCTGAATATTGTAATTATGGATTTGAACTGTGATTTTTTCCTAGTTATGGATCATTTTGGACGAACACTAAATCAATTTTGATCGTGTTTTTGCGAAAAAACATACTATAATTATGGCTGACCTGCTTAAAACTCAGTTAACATTACTTCTTAACTGACATCTACACTGCTTACGTTATTTGTTCATTAATGTTCATTAAATAATCACCAATGCTATCTACTGAAACTTCATTGTTGAAACATATTCTTCAAAGTTAAAAATCATAACAACACAGATATATAAACATTTGCAGTACAGGGCGCAACGTTTCGTAACGAAAACACTTCCAAAGACAGGTTCGGGATCCAAAACGAAGTTTTCGCAAGAAATGTCCTTCAATTTTGTAAAACGAACCACAGGTCCAGAGCTCACCCCCGCCACGAAAAGTCACCACGAAATTCCAAAATGCGCAACGCCACAGTGAGACGCGAGAGCGGGGTGGAGGAAAGCGTGTTGAATTTCGCGACCCTGCGCAACCCAAGTGCGTGTCTAATTTGCGAGAGGCATGAATGTTGCCAGGGCCATGTTCCCATGGTGGCAGGAAAGCAGAAAACCGCACATGATGTAGACCATGACGTGTGCAGCGGCAGCTTGAACATGTTTCTGAAAAGGCGATCCCAAATTGTCCAGCTTTGAATGCTTTAGAATTTGTGATGCCTACAAACATTGGTGTGGGTACATAGCCCGTTTGTTGTTTCCAGTTGTTTTTTGAGGATCACGTGTTTCTGACGCGTGAGAAACCATGTCTTGTTGACACTGAGTGTTTTGATTAATCAGTATTGCGCAGTGGAATCATTTTGTGTTTTTGCTTCGTTTGAGAAACACAGTTTTTGTTGTGGTTCGTCTTCCGTTTTTTTGTTTTTTCACCCTGCATGGGCTTCAGCGTGTTTGTATTCAAATGAACCTTTTGGCCTTGGAACATTTGGCTCACACTATGCCGCTATGCTGCCACTCAAACTCGCCGGTTGGATGACTGGGTCCATCATAGTGAACTCAAACTATAGCCGTGATTTTCTGCCCAGCATCATGTGGGATCCTTTGGCTGCACGTCTACTGCAGGGCATCCATGCGGCATTTCATCTGACTTGGTTCTGAATTTACAGACTCTTGTTTCTGACTTTTTTTTACCATGTTCAGAGGGTTCAGCATGTTGTTTGTTGTAAAATGTTCCAGCCAAGGCAGATGCAGCCTGTGTATGCAATTGTTTCTTTTATCCACAGGAGATGTGAACGCAAGGCCCTCAGTTTTTGAACCTCCATGACGTTCCATGCAGTGGCCGCAATTATTGTAGATGCGAATATTTTTTGTAGTTCAAACTAAAACAATAATAGTACGTGGGTTTGTGGCAGAGGATCGCAGCGATATTCATACTCATCCTTAAAGTTCTTTGGAGTTGATTTCATTTTCATAAAATGTTTATGGTTACTCCCAGATGCTCCAAACCTAGGGGCCTAGGCGCCTAGGGTTTGAGACCCCAGACCCCTCCAAAGGATTCGGTTCCGGTCCCTTCATATGCGGGTCCAAGAGAGTCTCTTTGGGCTGGTCCTTTTTCTTCCGGTCCTTTGATGAGAGCATTGGCACCGAGCGCATTGCCAAG